TTGTTTAGCCAGGGCTTAAACAATCGTCACGTCGGTCACAGCTTGTTATGATAGCCTGAACAATGCGTAAAGAGCAAATCGAAACATTGAACTTCGCGTGCACGTGGAACTTAATGAAGGCTTAAGTGCTTGTTCGTAGTCTTTAGTTTTCAGTTTTGAAAGATCATCGGTTGCAGTGGCTTGCTAAGCAGACAAACGCGGTCCCAGGTCCTTTCATATTAAAGAGATCGCTTGTTTATCCTGTATTTTCCAAAACCTGTCGTCGTCGGTGTCAGGTTTGAATGGTAACAACAACTCGAGTAACATTATGATGTGATATGAGGGGCCCGGTGGCCTTAGAGCGACCCTTTTGGCTTACTGAGCAGAACATCATGAGTTTAATCTCAGGCCCATTCACATTCATGATTCGTCAAGAGTTTTATTTGTTAATATGACTACATGGTAATAACAGCAACTTGGTGATTAAAAAGGTGCTCGTCTGCCTAGTGTCAAACGTTTTTGCTTACTGAGCAGAAGACCGTGGGTTTAGTCCCAAGCTCCTTCGCGTTATATGATCGTTAGGACATCAATTCAGCTTATCATTTACCAAAACGAACCCTCTTAAAGGGTGTCCACGATGAAATTGCCACACACAAAATTGATTCGCAAAATTCGAGTTTTCATCCGATTGCCATCAAATTTTCAGGGATTGAGAAATAACTATTCATTTTACTATTTTACTCGTATTTTATTTACAGTCCATACGCAAATGCCCGCACCTTGGCCTTAACCCCGGCCATAAGATTCTGCACAACCTGTGAATCAACCTTTTTTTGCATGTAAACCCATACTTTCTTCAGTTCCTCGACTGTCTTCACTACCTTAGGTCGTTTAAGAAGGTGCTGCTTCATAATCGCCCAGTACTTCTCGATGGGGCGGAGCTCCGGAGTGTTGGGAGGGTTGAACATTTTCGGCACGAAATTGACCTTATTGTCCGCATACCACTTCAGCACGTCCTTGGAGTAGTGGCATGAGGCCAAATCCGGCCAGAAGATTGTTGGGACGCTGTGGGCCTTCAGGAGAGGAAGCAGCCGCTTCTGGAGGCACTCTTTTATGTACACCTGTCCGTTCATCGTGTCCTGGGTCACGAAAGGTGCACTCCGCTTCCCGCACGTGCAGATGGCTTGCCAAACCAGGAATTTCTTCGCAAATTTGGACATCTTCTGAGTGCGGACATGCTCCGGAACGCTGAACTTATCCTTGGCCGTGAAAAACAGGTTGCCGGGGATCTGTTTGAAGTCGGCCTTCACATATGTTTCGTCGTCCATGATGCAGCATTCAACTTTCGTCAGCATGTTGAGGTACAACTTCCTGGCACGGGTTTTGGCGGACTTGTTCTGCTTCTCGTCGCGATTAGGGGCCTTTTGTACCTTGAACGTTCGAAGCCCAGCCTTAGTTTTGGCATTCTGGACAAAACTTCGGCTTAGGTGCAGCTTCTTAGCCACATCCCTAACGGAGGCGTTCGGATTTCGGTTGAAGGCCCCAACTACGCGGTTGTGATTTTTGGTGTTGTACGGAATACTTTTTCCTTCACTTCTGGGCTTCCGATCGGTGGTCAACCGTTCCTCGAACCGCTTAATCACTCGCGACACCGTGGAATTCGCGATTCCCAACGTTTTAGCGATGGAACGATGCGAGATGATGTTCTCGTGATGAATGCGCAAGATTTTATCACGCACGAGCTGTTCTTTCGACTCCATTTCCGCGAGTTTTGATCACAGGACTTTAAAACTTGCAGGATGTAAATAATGCACTATGAACTAAATCCAACCAAATTTTCATTAAATTCTACCCAACGGTTAAACAGTTAGAGCAATTTCATAGTGTGGCAATTTCATCGTGGACACCCTTTAACCAACATCTCGTGGAAGTGCAGAGGATTTCTCGGTTTCCATCAAAGCGAGTGTCGCGTCAGCACATTCCTACCCCTTCCTTTCTTGACCTGTGTTCGGGCGGGGCCGGCGCTGGTATTGTCTAGTTTGAGATCACCAGTTTTTACGCATTGAGGATGATTGCTAGTCCCAAGTATCGTCTCTTGGTTCTCTGTGTAATTACAGCTGGTTCGGCAATAACAGAGTAGCAACCGTGGGCGGTCAATCATGCTCAGATTTAATTGCAATCCTCCGTAACAAACCCTTTATGAATTCTCCGAAAACTCCCATGGAAATATGCTCCGAATTCCTTTTCTCCCATAATCGTCTAGAAAGTATCTTCAAAATGTCCTTAGAATTGTCATTCGAGTTATCCTCAGAATTATTATGGTATGATCCTCATTCTCGCCCAAATTTTCTCATAATACCTAGAGAATTCACATCAAAACTGTTATGAATTTTCATTAAAATCTAATTCACTTGAATTCTATTCAGGGTCGCCTTAGAATTCTACTCAGATCTACCTTGGTGTTTCCCTTAGGATTTACATGGAATCAATAGTTCCGCTGAACTACCTCGAAAACAGAACTGTATTGGAATGAGTTCCATATAAAATCTTATTAAATTCCATGAGCCTTGAAAATTTTGACGAGACTAAAGGGTGTCCCACATCAAATTGCATCACGGAAAACAATGCTGTAGAAAATATCACATTGGGTATTTCCTCTTGAAAATTTGGGTAGAAGTAGTTTAGAGTGTATTGTTTACACTGTATTTTTATCGCTGTCAGTTTTTCGAAAGTTGAAAAAAATTGCGTCACCCGAAAAGCAACGTCGCGAATTGATTTTGCGAAAGCACCTGGAAAATCCTCAACTCTCTCATCGGGACATCGGAAAAGAACTCGGAATCGTGCAGTTAAAGGTGAGTCGTGTGATAAAACGTTACTACGAAACTCTCAGCATCTAACGGAAGGAAAAATGCGGTCAGAATGGATGTTCTACTAGCGATCAAAGCGTTTAAGCGGAATCACAATGCTTCGGTCAGGGATGTGGCCAAAAAGTTGAATATGTCCAAGTCTTTCGTTCCCATGCTGATGCTGACGAAGCCTCATTGTCTCATCATGGATGATGAGACTTACGTCAAGGCGGACTTCCGATAGCTTCCGGGGCTACTGTTCTTCACCGCCCAGCACAAGTTTAATGTTCCGGAGGAAGTAAGGAAGCAGAAACTTTCAAAGTTTGCCAAGAAATACATGATTTGGCAAGCGATCTGCTCATGTGGCAAACGGAGTTCGCCACTACGTGACTACCGGGACTGTAAACGGGGAGATCTACAGTGTCTACAGAAACGTCTGCTTCCTCTGTTGAAGCAACACGAGGGCCCTACGATCTTCTGGCCGGATCTAGCTTCGTGCCACTATGCAAATGTTGTTTTGGAGTGGTACGAAGCCAACGGGGTCTCTTTCATACCCAAGGACATGAACCCGCCCAACGCACCGGAACTAAGGCCCATCGAAAAATACTGGGCTATTATGAAGCAGGCACTACGGAAGTATCCCAAGGAGGTCAAATCTGAGGAAGACATGAAGAAAAAGTAGGTTTCCGTACAGAAGAAGCTGCAGCCAGATGTTGTACAGAACCTAATGAATGGAGTTAAGCGTAAGGTGCGAGCGTACAGTTATGGTATTGAAGTTGAATGAAATAAATATGCCAAAAGCTTACTAACGGGTTAAATTTTATTGTCTGAAAGTTTGAAATTGATCAGTCACCTAGGTAATTTTCTACAGCGTTTTTTCCGTGATGCAATTTGATGTGGGACACCCTTTAAGAGAATATTCTAGGCTAAAAAGTTTCTAGACAGAAGTTGGTCTGAATTGTCTTGGAGTTCTTCTTTAAATTCTGCAGACAATTCTCATGGAATTCTTCTTAAAATTATCTAGAAATACTTCCCGAGCAGCCCTTGCAATTATCCTCGCAATTTCCTTAAAACACTTCGCACAATTCCTTTGAAATTTTTCACAGAGCCACCTAAAAAAACACTCTGATCTCACAATTGACTTGGAGTTCTAGTCATAACCCTCTTTGAGTTCGTAGGTCATCCCAAAACTCCCTACGACTTTTTGTCTGAAGTACCTTGGTATTATATTTCTCTAGAATCCACTTGAAAATGAACTCGTCATATGCTTTGATGATGCATCGTCTTGGTTTCTTCTGCGTAACAACTTTTATTTATTTTTGAACATTATTCTTCATCCATCCATGGTCACACTTGTATAGTTTTTGGATTTGCTCATAATGTACAATACAAAAAAATAATACAAACGTTCATAGTTTATCATTCAAGTGAATCCGCGACATCAGAGTGAGATCCACCCACAATATTAGAGGAATTCAAGAGCACTTCCAGATCAACAGGCTCTACCAGATTCTGGAGTACGTTCATTAAAAATGTTGACCGCTCGAGATGGTAAATATATTACACCATGGCTATTGTGAGAAGAGATAACAGCGTAAGCAACAATATTAAGCCGATAATAGCTTATTCAGTTGCATGCCCTTGATGAGTTGACGGATAAAACAGACTTCACAAAAACAGACTCAAAAACAGTTTAAACTGATCCAAATCGGCAGCTCCGTTCAAGCAACGGTCCCACTGTATGTGGTAGTAAATGCACTCTCGTCGTGGCAGCAACGCAAGGCCATACTCAACCCCGAGCGAAACATATGAACACACAGAATATGCGGGCAATAAACTTGCATTTCCCTCTTAGACAGTCGCGCATCATATTTCACTCTCACTCGCGTGTACTCAACACTCGACACGTACAAAAATATTTCCTTCTGGTGGTTGAATGGTAGCTGCCCCTGCCCATATCCAATTGACAACGACAGAAGAGTAATTAAACCTCCCGGAGAAGTAGCACAACTGATGAGGAAACGCTCATAAATTAATCATCACCATCTCAAACCATTGACGATTGCGATTACTTAACGAATCGTGCGTGCGTCAGCTGACAATCTGGTGTCCTCTGATATGTGCTCAAGGCCCTCCGACGACGCGATTCGCGGGGGAAGTGAAGGGGGTACCTACCTTCGTTTCCAAATAGACTCCATATTTTCGCAAACAGCAGTCCCATTTTGAGTGAGGAGAACTGCTCAATCGGCAATCGGCGGTTCCGGATGTGGGTTTAACCTTGATGGATCCTTCCCGTCACTTTTCCTGCTGCGTATCAACAACGATCCCCGACTAGCCTACGGAATTCCATAACCCTTCTCGATTCACCTCGAGTTCGCTCACTCCGTCGTCGTCCTACGCACCCAAAACACAAATTCCGATCCGATTTTCTTCTTTCACAGACACTCAACTATTGCGAAATTTTCCTTTTGCCTAATAATTGTTATGTTGTTTACCCCGCGCGAGACTTCAGCCTCTTCTTTGTGTGTGCGAGACCTCCGAGAGTGCCTTGCTGGTGCTGGTTACGGATTTCTTACGTCTTCTGCTGCAGCTGCTGCTGTTTGCTTACTTTCTTCCAATACAAAAAGCTACCACAAGTCTTTACACAACCACATTTTTTTTTTCTTTACTCCGTTTTCTTTTCCGCCGCACAGGTAGCAGCGAATAATTTCTGTTTTCTCTACCTGCTACCTTCGGTGTCCTCTGCACGATGCAATAATCTCACAAATCAATGGGATCTTACTACCGAGATAAGATGGGACGAGAAGCCAGAAGCAGCAGCAGTAGGGCCTTCACAGGTCACCAATCCTGAGACGCGCGTAATCACGGCGTAGAAAAAGTGATAGGACTCCGCGACCGAAACCGAAGAGCAGCGCAGCCAGCGAGCAAACACGTAGGATTTTCCGTTCGAAACCACGACAATTTCAATGCTGGCCACTTTTGCGGACCAGTTTGCGAAAGATTGTGTTGAAATACAGTGTAAAACTATTGCACTAATTCACTGCAATATTTTACCTGGGCGATTCTTCAATGCTGCTACTGCTGCTTTCCACTTCCACTCGCTGCTGGCTGCTCGCTGCTGCTGGGTACAACTTTTTCGAATGGCATTTTTGACAGTTCTCTCTCGATTTTGCGTTTTTTTTGTGTGTGTTTTGTCAGCTGTGAGAGGGAAAGAGTGTCGCTTACAATGCCCGAAAGCTCTCCCGAAGTGAGGGATAGGAATAGTTGCAGTTTCTCAGGAGCATTTGAAAAGGTGAGAATGAATCATTATTAATTTGAGGGCTACCCCAAGAGAAGAGATGACAATACGGGGGCGAAAAAAAACCACTTTTCTGTCAAACGTGAACCAGCTGCTGATTGGCCAATTTCATGTGCGTAAGATAGAGATAGAGATAGATAAAGATAGAGATAGAGATAGAAATAAAAGAGGAAGAAGCCAATTGTCACCTCTTCCTCTTAGGGGCTACCAATTCACGTTAGAGCAACCGTAACGGTACGCTGCTAAACTCATTTTAGCAGCCTTCATCATAGCGCAGCTACCGTATCGGGGGTTGCCATACGAGTAACTAAAATAGCAGTCGGTTTCTCGGTGAGAAGCGCGTTACCAAATTTAGCAGCACGATAGCAGCGCGATAGCAGCGCGATAGCAGCGCGATAGCAGCGCGATAGCAGCGCGATAACAGCGCGATAGCAGCGCGATAGCAGCGCGATAGCAGCGCGATAGCAGTGCGATAGCAGTGCGATAGCAGCGCGATAGCCACGCGGGAGAAAGGTTGCTATTCGTAGAAATGTCAAAATCCTCACTACCGGTACGGACAAAGGCGAGTAAATTGATAACCGCGATTGCACCGACCGGTGTGGAGAAGAGTGACTAAACTAAAATGAGAGCGCTGCGCGCTGTTAAAATAGTCGCGCAAATGACAACGACCGTTACGGTTGCTCTTATATTCCACATAAAGTTGACCGATGTTTCGAAACAAATCTAGCGTCACTTTTCAAATATACCAATGTAACATATCCACCATTTTGAGAAAATCGAAGTTGAAGTACGACCTTGGTTTGAAGTCATGTAATATTAATGTTTAAAATAAAAACAATGTTACGTTTATTTTAAAAATATTCGTGTTGAAAATAAACGTGAATATTTTTGTTTGGTTTGACAACTATGCGAACAAGAATAAATATGTTTATTTTAAACATGTTTCTTATGTTTGAAAGAAACATGCTTAATTTGAAATTATATTAGCATTTGAATGTAGGATAAAGCAGAAAAATGGTTTGCCAAGAGATGAAAAAAAAAAACGATCTGCAGGAAGATCCCGAAATCAGTTTGATTGCAATGTAGGATTGGAAATGCAGGAACCGGAAGAAGATGAGGATGAAGAGAAACTGTTGAGTTCGGTAAGGAAGGAGGATGAATGCAGCACTGATTTTAGTAAGAAGTTGATCCAACAAATTAATCAGTCGAGTCAGGATTGTGTGAATATGATAAAGCTTGCTGAAGTTTCGAAGAAGTTGGAGCAATTACGGAAAGAGCAAGAACACAAGGCAGGTGCAAATGAGGAGCATGTTTCGGATCTGCTTGTGGCAGTAGAGAAGATCAAAGACAAAAGCTCGAAGCAAACAGGAAGAAATGACTTTATCAGGGGGGGGGGGGTCTGGAGGATCCGGAATAGATTCAAAATCCATTTCGGATTTTCGTTTTCCTTTGTTAAGACACTTACCTAGGTGGGTTTCCGCATCCATGAGTTCGGTTTTATTACGGGCCGTTTTTAGTTGATTGGCAAAGCTGGGGCAATTTTTTTTTTCCGAATGTAAACAAGAAGGAAAAAATGCAGGGCACGCTAAAAATCGTTTACCCAAATTCTATATTGTTGAAATAAACATGCCTTGACTTTAATTCAAACACATATATTTTTGTTACACACGTGTTTTTAATTTATTTTGAATTATTCATATGTTTATAGAATGAACAGTTTTATTTTTGATTCAAATGAACAGAATTCGGTTCCGTGTACGTGACTAGGCTTATCAATGAAATGAAAGAAATGAATGGTTGGCCGTTTTAGCGTGTGAGCCGAGGGGCGCGCACTACCAGGTGAGAGTGCGTGATATTTAAAACACATCGTAGTAATTTAAATACTTTGAGGACAGTAATCATTTAATTTTAAATACTTTGAGCGGTATTGAAAGTAATCAACATATAATTAACGATAATTAATGTAAAAGCAAATAATTTAAATGTTTTGAAAATAATTTAAATGTTTTGAAAATAATTTAAATGTTTTGAAAATAATTTAAGTATCAAATATTGTCAGTATTTAAAGTATTTAATGAAATTTAGAGTGTATTTAAAGTAATGAAAGTAGTAATGACAAGATTTTAAATATTTGGCCTATTAATCAATCGAAAAATTTTGTTGACCGGCCGTTTCGAAAATCGTGTTATTTTTAATGATTTTTCTCGATTATGCGGAACTTTCCTACACGATAAGTACACTCAAAAAATATTCAAATCTAAATAGTATAAAAGCTACCCTAAATCGCAACTCTCTCGACCGACGCATAGCTAGGTATAAAGAGAGAGAATACGAACTTAGTATAAAAATCGATTGTTCATCCAATGTATAATGTGCAAGTATACGAATGATGTTTAATGGGGCTCTATTTGGGAAATCTATTATTGCTGTACTTTCGACTGTCTTGGATTTGTTATTGAAATGCTCATCAGTTTTATTTTTAACATAAGTTACATTAAATTAAATTACAAATAAATTACATCATCTAAATTGAAAACCGCTTGACGCTTTCCGCCGTATTAACTCCAGCACCAACTTTTGCTAATCGACGAGGTTCTCATACTCCGTCCATCCACTGAAAAGCCAAAAATCACTATCATACTGTGGTGGATATAGTTGGTGTGAAATAATAATATTAAAATAAATATATAAAAACTTGAGAGTTGTGTCAAGTAATGATACACTCTATTTGAGTTGAACTAAATTAGCGTGAAGCATGACAGATGTGAGGCGAAATACTGGCAAAGCAAGCAGTGCTGGATAAACGAGGAGAAAATACGGAGGGTATAAATATGAGCTATCTAAGCTCGTTGACGACATTCTTGTAACTAACTTTGGCAGCGAAGGACATCAGCAGCAGCAGCAGTAGCAGCAGCAGAAGCAGCAGCAGCAGAAGCAGCAGCAGAAGCAGCAGCAGAAGCAGCAGCAGCAGAAGCAGCAGCAGCAACAGCAGAAGCAGCAGCAGCAGAAGCAGCAGCAGTAACAACATCAGCAGCAGCAGTAATGGAAGCGGAGCAGCATCACTGATTTGTGAAGCTGTTGTACCTGATTACCGGCTTGCTGTTTGTTCAGACATATGGCTGAGGCTGGAAACCTTGGTCAGGTCACGACACTCTGGTCTTCTTAAAGGTTCTCTCTGAATATCTTAGTGTTGTGAAGTTGATTTAACTGGCATGAAGTTCCCGTAATTTTCTTGCACTTCTTAAAGCTCGCGAAATTTTCCTCGAACTATATCCACCACACATACATCGGTAACCTGGATTTGATACGCACACTGCAGTTCTGCTACCATCGATGCCCTAAAGTACAACACGCCGAACCTCCAGCAGCTGCATGCTATCATCTTGCATCTGGGACGATTGATGAAGTTGAATCCAATGACTGGAGGGATTACTTCTTCGAAATCGAAGCTGGTGAATGGTTGATGACAAAAGGTTTAAAAGGCTTAGGTTATATTTTTACGATCCAGATTTCCTTTAGCTGCAACCGGCCGTTCGAGACACGACCATATAGTCCAGCGTTCCCTTTTTTATGTACCGTAAAGGGGTCCGTTGCTTGCTTAGTTCAGATGCTCCGAGTTCACTTACACAAAATCATCATCCAAAGCGATCACCGGGCGTAAGAATTTCTTGAAGCAAATCATCCAAACGTCCATCACGTTGTTGGAGATGTGTTCGGCTAGGCACACGATGTACACAGCAAAAAAAGTTGTTGAATATTACATCGAAACGGCTGCAACCAGGTCAATCCATCGGTTGTGTAATATCTTATTGTACGATGTACATCGATTTTGCGAACAAAATTACATCCATTGATGTAATATTGTATCTGCTTTTTGCTATTACATCATTATTTCATACATCAGCTTGAATTACGTTGATCGATATTACTTTTTTTTTTTGCTGTGTATCGTCCTTCTCAAAGTGACCGATGTTCTGTATCAAGAATCAGAATGCGTTCTACTACAGTAAGCAGACGTCCTTGATGATGTCTTTAACATCTTCTACCCTGGAAATGGGAAGTTGGAGAGGGCAGAATAATTTTATTCATGTGATGAGCATGATGGAAGCATTTAATTCGCTACAACTTCAAAACTGCAAGCAGTTATTCACCCATAGGTATTCTCGTTTAGGAATACCACAGGACGTGCCATGATCGAAGTTATGCATATGTTAAATTTAACAGTTATATTAACTTACCTGCAATCATTCACGCGAACCACCAGTGAGTTGTGCCGCAGCACATTTGCACCATACTTCTGGACAACCTCTATTGCATCTGGGAAGTAATCTTTGCAATTGTTCCTTCTGCTTATCACCAGACAGTACCAGCCCGGTTCAGTTCAAATGCATATTGAACAGGTTCGTCGAATCAAAATTGTTGCGCATGAAATCTGCAGTAATTGGATTGTGGTTGTGGAAGAAGGACATCGAACTGGATTCGAACCAATAGTCAAGCATATCTGGAACAAGTCATAGCTATAAATTTACGATGTTATCGATCCGATTAAAAGAATTCACAACAAAACCGGAGTACTTTTTCAGCTCACATCCCGCTTTTCACTTATGGTTTTTCGGAACTTACATTAGTAAATAAGATGTTGATATTCTGTTGTTAAATATTTGAACTCTTGTCAAAGACTAAATCAGCGGTATACACCCCTTATCAAATTTATCGCTGTTTTTCGGACTTAGTATAATTTTAAAATAAATTTTAATCAAATCAATGTATAAACATTGTTAATACATTAAATGATTACATTTTA